GATTAGAACTAATTGGGACGACCACATGGGGATCGCAGCGTGAACCCTTGCGATATAGCCTCGCTAACTCGGAAGGCAACTATGGCATTGCGAGCTCGCGATACAGAAGCGATTGGCACGATACTTCAGCTGGTGAACCCTCGCGATACAGTCGCGCTTGGGCGTGCAAACTGACAACGCCTTCGATTGTTGAATCACACTAGAATGGTTCGAGCAGCTCGGTGCAGGGCAAGGGTGAAGCCCACGTGATACCAGTGCAATGGAGAGAAATTTGGTTCTATGTGCCTGAGAGGATGACGACGGCTGCAAATAGTTAGATTGAGGACATCATGAGAAGGAGATAATGCGGGAGGTAAAGGTTTAGAGCTTCTGGGGAAGATATATCCTGAAATTTTGAAGTTCTTAGTCGGTCACATACAGGGGCTAGCGTCTCAAGAGAAGCCGCTACCTCAGCACGTGCTCCGATATCGGTGAAGCTAGATGTCCTTTTTGTGGATCTGAAACTTGATGAATCGGTTATATATCTGAGTTGATCACATCAGATCAAAGCTACTCTAATTGAGAAGAGATTGGAGGGATATCTGGCGGGTGTCGAGTCTGAGAGGGATGAGTGGAGGACCGCATATGACTTGTTTTACACCTGGCTACTCAACTCGATGATTCCATCGATTGACTCATCAGTAGATGACATTCAAAAGGTGAACGACATCTGGGCGAAGCCGAAGATCTATGTTGGAGTTGAGAATCACATGAGGGTGTTCCAGATTCAGCGTGAGATAGATGCAGTGGTTCAGGGTGATAGATCAATTCAGGAGAACTTCATATAGTCGGAGAGACTATGAGCAGATCTTGATCACTTCATACCAATGTCGAGCTATGACGATCTGGAGTGTAAGAAAGGGGAGATCTTTGCACTGTGAGGACTATGCAATTTTTGGCCCATCTAAACCTGACCTTTGATCAGAGGAGATTTGCCCTCCTAGCTTGGGTTACTATCCCTTCACTGGATGAGGTCATTGCTGCTATGTAACAAGAAGAGAGTCTCATGAAGCTGCATTCAGAGCCGAGTGGACTTATGGGTGTGCGATCAACCTAGTTGCATTGAGTTTAGGTATGATTGGTGTCTGGGGAGAGACTCGCAAGTGCTACAACTATGTTGAAATTGGGCATCTGAGCAAGTCCTATCCTAGACCACCTAAGTGAGAAACGGGTGAAAGGTTAACAGGGTGGAGGCCGTGGTCGTGGCCATGGTGGATGAAAATGTGGAAAAAAGGGTTACTCGACACATCTGATGATAAAAAATGAGGTTGAGACAAATGTGGTTTTTACCAATGTTAATCATAAGTGTCTGGAGTTATTGAGGAGGAAGCAGAAAGTCTAAGGTTGTTTTTAACTAGCTGTCATCAAATGATAACATTATCAGTTTTGCTCACTCTAACAAAGATACTTGTAATACACATGCTCTTGCCTCTAATTCCACCACATGATCATGAAAATGGATAGTATATTTCAGTGTATCTCGACATGTGACAGGTACTGCTAGAGAATTTTCTTTCTATACTCTTCTAACAGTACTAGAGAGCATCTATATTATTGATGGTATAGCACAGCCTAAGGTTGATGAGGGTATAGTGAGAGCATCCAGACTGTTGATGGTATATTACAGCTTGTAGTTCGTAAGGATATAGTGAGAGGTACCAATTATATTATTTTGTCAAATGTTTTGCATTTCTCTTCTTTTTCAATTAACCTTTTAACGATTAGTGACATAAAAGTGATGGACTCAGCTTTGACATTCATGGTATAGAGTGTTGGAGCAAAAGAATTTGTGAGGAGTGTGAAGGACGTGTTTTTGCTACATCACAGACACATGTGACACTCTTGTTTTAGTTTATTGAGTCAGTTATATTCTTCTTTGTATGAAAAGACAAATAAACAAAAGCTAGTTTATGATGCTTGTAATTTTGGTACGTTTGCTAGGAGCACTTATATCAATTTTAAAAATAGAAGTTCTGGTATTTTTTACTTGATACATTTTGATGGTTGGGGACCTTATTCTACAAGTTCTATGAATGGTTATCAATATTTTGTGATCTTTATTGATTATATTTCTCGTGCTACTTGGTTATATTTGATAAAAAAATAATTTTCATGTGTTTGCTTGTTTTAAAGACTTCCACAAAACAATTCAGACTCAATATGATTCAATAATGAAGGTATTGAGGTTTAATAAAAAGACAATATATCAATCAAGTATTTGGGGAATACTTGTCAGCCCAAGGGATACAATATCAAACCACATGTCAATACACACTGACAAAAAGTAAAGTAGCGGAGAGGAAGAATATACAATTTCTAGAGGTAGCCTGAAGCATGATGATCAGAATGAATGTCTCAAAACAATTATGGGGCAAACAATTTTGATAGCTACTCAATTAATCATTAGGATGCCCTCGATGGTTTGGATTGGATGTCTTCTTCTTAAATGTTGAAAGGAGATAATTGTGGGATCCTCCTATTTAAGGTGTTTGGATATGTATGTTTTGTGAAAGATAACAGGTTATCGATAGGGAAGTTGGATCCCAGAGTTGTGAAATGTGTGTTCGTGTGTTCTTCTGCTATCTTGATGAGGTACGTCTATTGGAGCCCAATAGAAAAGAGACTAATTGTAAGCATGGATGTGTCATTTAGAGAAGTTGAACCATTATACACCCAGGAGGTGTTTTCACCCTACGGTGATTCACCAAATACTAGAGATATAAGGCAAAGGGGGTGAGTAGCAATCGTGAGAGAGTGGTAGACTTGGGAGGAATGCCTTGTCTTGTGATATGGGATGAATTAGTCGAGGGACCAGAAAATGAGCAGAGTGAAACGATATTGTGATGAGATTCAGGCTAAAAGTGAGCTAAGAGTGTATTCAGGCTAAAAGTGAGCTAAGAGTGTATACCTTGAGAAGGAAGCAAAATGAGGGTTATGTCGACTAGGCTCTTGTATGGTCTTACCTCTCGCAGCAATGCGAGACATCCTTTCGATCATTTTAGATGGGAACATGATATTCCTAATTTTATTTTATTTTTTAATATATTATCTTTACATAGAACTTTCATTCATCTTTGGACATTGTCTCTATACTCAAATGGAAAGCGACTATGCATGAAGAGCTCAAGGCTCTCAATAAAAATTGAACATGGGAGATAGTATCGGTATCAGCGTGAAAAAAGACAGTTGGGTGAAAGTGAATCTTCACAAAGAGAAGGTAAAGTGGTACAAAGCACAGCACTGGTTTCTTTAGCAGTGAATGGTCGGTGTAGGTTACACCGATTTGATATGAAGATTGCATTTTGTCACTGTGAGTTATTAGATGAGGTATATATGGAGATACCATCATAATTTGGTACAGTCCAGATAGTGAGCAAGGTGTGTAGGCTCAGGAAGTCATTGTATGACTTGAAACAGTCAGTCTCCTTGAGCCTGGTTTGACAAGTTGAGAAAGACTATGGGGGGCATGAGATATCAGCAGATCAATGCAGACCAAACAGTATTCTTTTAACATGAAGGTTACACCACTATACTTTTTATAACTTGAAGGTCACACCACTATACTTGTTATATATATTGATGACATCAATATTACCAGTGATGATGAAGTAGAGATTGTCCAACTAAATGGAAGATTGGACAATGAATTTGAGGTGTATGATCTCAAACAACTCTGATACTTTTTTATAGTTGAAGTGGTCTGTGAACCTGAGGGAATGGTCTTGTTTCAGAAAAAGTATGTACTAGATCTCCTCACATAAATATGCATGTTGGGGTGCAAATTTACAGTCTCTCTAATTGATCAGAAGACCAAGCTGAGTGCAAAGGAAGGAGAACCGATTTGACCTTTTTGTGTCACACTCGACCGACATTTCTTTTATAGCGCTACATGCATGAGTCTAGTAAGGGCTATATGGATGCAGTGTAATAGATTTTGATGTACCTGAAGGGTGCATCAAAGAAGGGGTTGATCTTCAAGAAGAATGAGCATTTAGACATTGAGGGCTTTTGTGACGTTGACTGAGTAAGTTGTGCAAATGACAGAAGATCCACCTCATGATATTTTGAGTTGGATCTTTTGTAATAGTGAAGTCAACAGTAAAGGCAGGTCCATGGCCTTATGAGTTGCCAAGATAATGTGGTTGAGAGCCTTATTGGTCGAGCTCGAGGTGGACCAAGAAACTTAAATGAAGTTGTGGTGCGACAAGTCAACAATCAGTATTGCCAACAACCCAATGCAACACGATAGAACCAAACATCTGGAGATTGATGGATTCTTCATCTAGGAAAAGCTAAATAACGGCCTATTGAAGCTAATTCATGTAAACACTGGAGAGCAAGTAGTTGACTGACTGACTAAAGAATTTAGTTCATTAGATTTGTCTAGGTTATGTGACAAGATGAGCTTAGTGGATATGTTTTGCCCATCTTGAGTGTTGAGAATTGGACCTTATTTAGGGTCCTATTGGTTAAATGGGAGTATTGAAAAAGTCTAGGGGTCTATTTGTAAAATATTGTAATACTCTATTTAAGCCATAGAGTAGGCTTTGAATAATTCTTTCTTGATTCATTAGCCTATAATTTTCCTGGGAACCTTTAATGCTTCTATTAAACTGCATATTAAGTTATACTAAATTATGGGGCAAGCATATTGTGCTCTGGAAATACGTTCTACATTTAGAATACATGAAACACAAGATAATGGGCATTTACATGCACCACACCCAATTCCGATGTATTTACATATCTAACACCTAAATTTTAATTTTAACAACTGTACCTCCCAAATCTTTCATATCGCTTCAAAATGACCACCATTTAAACTCTTAAAAAGTGAAATGCACCTTTTCATGCACAGGTAAGGGTGGTATGCATGTAAAAATTGGTGGAATGCATGTGTAAATCTTCCTAATACATACCACTCTATTCATTCCAATTGATTGTTTATACATCCAATGCAGGTCTTTGAAGCACTGGATCTGCTGAAAAAGAAGACAGATCCCAAAGCTGAGGAAATCCTTTCAGTTGAAGAACTGATATCAAGGGCTTATTCAGCGATTGACAAAGCAGTAAAATCAGGCAGTTTGCATAAGAACACTGGAGCACACAGGAAATCACGGCTGGCGAGGAGGAAGAAGACTGTTGAAATCCACCATGGCTGGTATGCTCCTGCTGTAACTGCTTGATTGCTGCAAACATTGGTATGCGGTGATTTTTCCTCGGGAAGAATTTTATTCTCATTTTTCTTTTCAAAATGATGATTGATTTTCAGTGATTGTATGGTGTGATGCAGCTGCTGTATTATTGTAAGAGAAGTATTTGAAGCAAAGTTTGATCATGGTTTTAAAATTAAATCAGACCCGTTGGCTAGACCGGATTCAAAACTGTTTCAACATGAATCTCACCGTTGAACTGGTTGGATCAGAATTTAATTTTAATGAATTGCCCGGTTTTGATATTGGTCAATTTTTAATTTTAAAATTTTGATGGGATGGCTCCAAATATTATATTTTGAATTAAAGAAAAAAATTATTATTACATTTTTATTATATTATTTAAATTAAATTATATAATAAATTATATTTTGAATTAAACTATATTTATAATTAAATTAAATTATATTTTGAATTATATTATTTTGAATTAAACTAACACTGCCGTTGCCGGTCCCAAGCCCGGATGAGAAAAGTGGAGGGTTGCGTTAGGTAG